CTAGTCAATAAAAGTTGGAGGAGGGCAGCTATAACCAACTTCCTTCTAAACCAGTGGTTCTCAACCTGTGGATCACAACCCCTTTGGCAGTCGAATGACCCTTTCACAAGGGTCGCTCGCCTAAGACCATGCTGCCTATCAGATATTTACATGACGATTCATAACAGTAGCAACATTACAGTTATGAAGTAGCAACGAAAATAACTTTATGGCTGGGTCACAACGTGAGGAACTGTATTTAAAGGGCCAGAAGGCTGAGAACCAGAGGGGAAGGAAGGGAGGGAGAGAAATATCGAGATAAATATCGATGTGAGGGAGATACATCAATGGGTTGTCTCCCGCACAGGCCCAACCGGGACCGGGGATTGAGCATGCAACTGAGATATGTGCCCTTTGGTGCAGGGGTTGATGCTCTAACCACTGAGCTCACTGGGTCAGGGCCCATTATTGTTTTAGGAAAGACCATGGTGATATGCCACATATGTAGGGGTACTATATAGACGTCACACTATTTATTTTGTCTGTGGGGGTTTTTGGTGGGTTTGTTGTTGTTGTATCCTCACCCAAGGATATTTTTTCCATTGATTTTTAGAAAGAGTTGGAAGGGCGGGTAAGAGACAGAGAGAGTGAAACATTGATGTGAAAGAGACACATCAATTGGTTGCCTCCTGCACGTGCCCCACCGGGGCAGGGGATCGAGCCTGCAACCGAGGTACATGCCCTTGATGGAATCAAACCTGCCACCTTTCAGGTCCGATGCGCTAACCAAACGAGGGCTTATCCTGTGTTTTATATTAGTTCTTAGTTTTTATCAAATAGTGGGATGCTGAGCTGTTAGCATTTGTCCGAGTATTTTTATGGCTCTAAATATGATAGTTATTTTCTAAAATGACACTTGAAGAATAACAGCTGGAGAATATAACGTGGCAACCACCTTATTCTGATAAATACAATGTACTTTAATTCCTCGACACGAAAATGCTTTGATCGAGAAAGTAGGTTTTGCCTATGAGTAGTAAAAAATGTAAAATAAAAATGCACGAAATAACACAGAATCATTTTTACTTTTTAACTAAAAATTACATGGAATATGGGATGACTAACTGAGATTATTGTGTAACAATTTAAAATATGTGGTTGAGGGAGAAAAAAATACCACCACTTTCCCCAATCGCATCAATAAAGCCTCGACTCCAAGCATTAGTGCTTTTCTGCATGCGTGTCGACACTCTCCCCACCTGTTCCCAGGCGACACCTGCGCCCGCCCAGCGAGTTTCTGCCCTTCCTCGCCCGTCCTGCCCCCCTGGCCTCAATACGCTCTCTCTTCTGCTTACTTACCGGCAGCTCCCTCTTCAATGCGTGATGTTCTGACAAGGGAAGTGGTTTGTGTCTTTGGTAAATCATCACAGGGGCTTCTCTAAAGACTGGGAAATGGATTCACAATCTTATTTTTAGCCGAAGACGAGAACTATGTGAGTGTTGCTTGGTTGCCCGTGGTGTCCATAAGCGCTCCAAACAAACCGCCACAGTGTGGGATGCAGAATGTTGTGAAAGTGTAAGCTGTTTACATTGACGTTATGGTTCTGCATGTGACTCAGGAGTGTCAAGTAGCGCGGACCCTCAGGCCATCGTTAAAAAAACGGTTTCAAAGTTTAATGGCTCATAATGATACACGCTGACTGAAAACCATAAAAGTAAATGCCCACTGACAAATAAATTATATGCGTGGCTGGGACTTAAGGATAATTTTGTCTCAAGAATAAATACCTTTTTATTAGACGCTTTCCCTTTTAAAAATACAATATAAAACTTTGTAAAGAAAAATATCACGATCTCTGAATTCTTCTGGAACACTGTGGCCAAAGTCATGCCAGAGCTAAGCTCTGGGCTAAGAGCTGTGGGGAGCACATGACAGAAGGGTCCCAATGCAAATGGGCGAACTGCGTGACTGAATTCTAGCTTGGGATGGGAGTGGGAGGCATAAAATGTGTGCAGGGATCTGGTCTGCTGGATTGATGTGTCTAATTTATGTTCTTAACCTGTTTTTAAAAATTAGAGAGAGAGAGAGAGAGAAAGAAAGAGAGACAGACAGACAGACATTGATTGCCTGCCTTCCTCACACACTCAACCAGGAGTCGAACCCATAAACTTGGGCATGTGCCTTGAATGGAAATCAAACCGGCGACCTTTTGATGCATAGGACAACGCTCAAGGAACTGAGCCACACGGGCCAGGGCCATGGGTATAATTTAAAGCATTTTCTATCACTGGCCAGTGTTCTCAGTGGTTAGTGTTGGCGCAAGCACGGGTTTGCTCCCTGCCGCTACCACACACACCCCATCCCACCCCACCCCCCTTGTGTTGGCGCAAGCAGGAGGTGAAGGGTTGACTTATCGCTCTCCCATCAATGTTTTTCTCTCTATCTCTGTCTCCCTTCCTTCTACTCTTTCTGAACAGCAATGGAAAAAAATAGCCTCAGGTGAGGATAAAATAATAAATAAAGCATTTTATATTTCCTGTCCTCCATCCCACCACAACCACCATCCCACATAAGGTTCAAGTTCTAGACACAATGGCTAAGTCACCTAAGCAGGGGAAGGCACTGGGAGGACTGTTACCGGCTCACCTCCGAATGAGAGGGTAAGATTGTGACGGGTGGTGTCCCAAGAGCAAGACTGCCCTAAGTACAGTAGGTCCTCACTTAATGTCACCGATAGGTTCTGCAACTTTAAGCAAAACGATGTATAATGAAACCAATTTTACCACCGGCTAATGATGTCAACAAGAGCTACGTTTCTATGGGATCTCACCTCAACGTTATAATGAGACAATGTTGCATGAAATGACCTGCTGTTACTAAACTCCAAAAAAATAATTTAAAAATCCTGTTCTTTCCAAGGACAATCTGGCTCCTACTAATGAAAGTATGAATTATTAGCAACAAATATTTTAATTCATCCAATAAATAAAAGTAATTTTAGAAATAAGATTGAAAAATGAATTAAAGTAACATTTATTAGTGTTATTACCCACCATCAGATTTACCACTCACAGAACACCTACTGTATGATTTATTACTGTAAGCGCTTCTCTGAACCTACTCATTTAATCCTCACAAAACCCTAGGAGGTCGGCACTATTATAATCCCCACTTCATAAGTGAGAGAACTGAGAGTCAGCAAATTAAACAGGATTGTAAAATGGTGCAACTTTGGAAAGCAAGCTGGCAATTCTTCAAAAGGTTAAACAAGGAATTTCCATAGGACCCAGCGGTTCCACTCCCAGATATATGCCTAAGAGAACTGCAAACATGTCTGCAAAAACTTGTGCACAGATGTTCATAGCAGCGGCATTCATAATAGCCAAAAACTAGAAATAACCGAAAGGTCCATCAACAGAAGAAGGAGTAATATGAATATGAATGGAAACATAAAACAGATTAAATGGAATATTATTCTTATGTCTGAAGGAATAAAGTACTGACAAACTACAACATGGATGAACTTTGAAAACATTACGCTAAGCGAAAGAAGCCCGACGTAAAAGGCCACATATTATTAATTCCATTTATATGAAATGTCCAGAATAGGAAAGCTCACAGGGACACCGCAGATCGGTGGTTGCCAAGGGCTGAGGTAACAGGGAGTGACTTTCAATGGGGACAGGTTTCTTCTGGAGGTGACATATTTGCTCCAGATCCCGTACTTTTGCGGGGCGCCAACATATGGGCAGTCTGGCCCGCGAGGCTGTCCCGCTCCCCCTCTACCATGCTCCCTTTGTCTTGAGGACTTGTGGTGGTTGGTCATGTTATTTCATGTACTTTTCTGTATGTTGCCATATTTCATAATTTAAAGAAAGAAAAAGAATAAGAGATTAGAATAAGAGACCTAACGTTGCGAAGCTCTGATTTGGGCAAAGGCTTGGGCCCGTTGGCAGATGAAACAGAAGGTGCATAAACATTGCTTCTAATCTGAAAAGTATAAGGCAAGGAACCCGGATTCAAAACTGTTCATCAGATCAGCGCCATTTAAAGACGAAAGGACTTTGGAAACACTATAAACAGCAAGTTCCCTGGCTGTGTCAATATCAATGATTGCATGCATTCAGTGGTGATGGTTACCCAGTAGTAGGAACCTGGAGGGACAAAAAAATATTGAATAGTAGTAATAAAGGATTAAGGCCTTGTTCATATTAAAACTGGCCTAACATCAAGTAAGAAGGTTATAGTAAAACTTTCCCATGTAGAAGTAGGTCAATACCAGAGCCATCTGCTCTTTAAATTTTTTTTTTTCTAAACACTACTTTATAAGCAATCAGGAAGGCAGTTCTCTAACAAAATCAGATTATTAAACAGATGGGACGAGAACAGAAAGAATAAAAGTATTTGGCTTGCAAAAAACATAAACAAGGAAAAATTTGCCCAGGCAACAATAGAGATGATAATATTCTGGGAAGACAATCAGTCATAAATCTTTACGTCACAGCCAAATGATTACATATTATTTTGGGAAGAAGAGAAAAGGGGGAGGAGGTAGAATGGGGAAGGGAGGCCTGAAGGAGGAGGGAGGGCAGCTATTTGCTAAATATAAAGACCAAGTCTTAATCAGTGGGCTAGCGTATATTTAAAACTGTCACCTAAATATAACTTGGCCCAGCACACACGATCCCATAAATAAAGAGAGTGGACTCAGACAAGGATCATCGTAGCTGCTAAAACGATTAGGTGATACTTGTTGGCGAACAGGACAGTCACACAGTGTCAAAGTATTGCCTCACATATTACTTATTATTCACAGAGGGGAAAGGGTATGTATTCAGTGGAAAAAGCTGGTGGACAACACCTTAACCAAGTAATCAGACATCCCCGATCATGGGACAAACGGACATTTTATGCCTCCAGATGTGAGGCACTGAAAAGAACACACACACTAAATGTTTCGCCTCTACTCATGAATAAATCAGACAAATACAAATTGTGAGACTCTTATGAAAGACAGAAAAATGTGGAACTGTTCTAGATTAAAGGAGACTAAAAAAACATGATAACTACCTAGAACATAGTTAAAAAAAAAAAAAACCCACACCACAGCTCTAAAAGACATTACTGGGACAATTAAAAATTTTAATTACATTTAAAAAAAATACATTCTTATTGATTTCAGAGAGGAAGGGAGAAGGAGAGAGAGATAGAAACATCAATGATGAGAGAGAATTACTGATCAGCTGCCTCCTGCATGCCTCTACTGGGGATTGAGCTACAACCTGGGCATGCGCCCTGACCGGGAATTGAACTGTGACCTCCTGGTTCATAGATCAACACGCAACCACTGAGCCACACCAGTTGGGCTTAATTACACTTTAACATGGCCTATATATTGGATATTATTTATCAATGTTACAGTTCTTGAGAGTGATAATGGCATTGAGTTTTATATAGAATGACCTTGTTCTTGGTCGATACATACTCAAGTATTTAAGGGTAAAGTCATGATGTCTGCGACTTACTTTCAAAGGGGAGAGGGAGAGAGAGGTGTTACCTAAATGTAACAACTGTTAACAATTGGTCAATCTAGGCAAAGTGTACATGAGTATATGTTGTCCTATTCTTTCAATTTTTCAGTAATTTTAAATTTTTTTCAAAATCTAAGGGGAAAAACAAAAAGCAATTAGAGTAGAGGCGTGCTCTCGCCTGGAAATGACCCCTGGCGGTACACACACCAGGCTTCTCAGACTCTGTGCAGCCGGCGGGAGGCTGCTGTCCTGCAGGCCGGGCCCGTCCTGCCACAGTGGCCCGCAGCTTGAGGCGTTCTCTTTCTCTCTGTGTTGAAATCCATTTAGCAACTTGAAAACCCATTTGGGAAGAAACGACATCACTACCACTTTCCAGGCAACTGAAAACATTTGCTGTGCCCTGGCTGGGTGTGCTCAGTGTTTAGAGCATCGGCCGGCAGACTGCAGGGTCTCGGGTTTGGTTCCGATCCAGGGCACCTACCTCGGTTGCAGGCTTGATCCCCGCCCCCGACGGGGCGCGTGGGGGAGCCAACCAACAGATGTGTCTCTCTCACATCCATGTTTCTCTCTCTGTCTCTTCCCCTCCCTTCCACTCTCTCTAAAAACTCCTTTTTCAAAACGACATTCCCCTTACCCCTAATGACACACCTGAACACAACTGGCATACGAGCAGGTCCTTGACAGTTTAAGGGTAATAATTCAAGGCCTCCAGAGGGCTAGAGTTACAAGACCAGATCCCAGAAGGCCTTAGCCAGTGGTTCCTAAATTGGCTCCTACTCAAAATGGCCAATGGAACTGGGGGGCTCGATCCTGTTTTGTGGACATCAACTTTGTGCCCAGAACCTGCACTTACAGCCACAGCAAGGTCTGCATTCCCTCCCGGACCCCTCAGTGTCTCAGGAAGGCTGAACAGCTCAGGCCAGTTCCCAAGAACAGAAAGGCAGCCCCGAGATCATTCCCCCTAGGTCATGCTTTACACTTTTATGTGCATCCACGCCAGCGCTCACCCAACAGCACACCTGGGAGAGAGACCGAAGGACACTGAAACAGGACACGACCCACCGAACCCAAACTGACGCAGAAGCAGGTAGCATTTCCTCTTTTTCCCCCACCCCCTTTCAGGTAGCTTCATGCTCTGTATTTACCATAGTCAGAATCTACTTCATTCTTGCTAACAGACCGTTATTTGAATGTAAATCCTTTAAAACAAAACCAAAAAAACGCACGTGCACACACAACAAAATAGAAAGTGAACCTAACCATGTTTTGGTTAAAATAAATGGAAAACTAAAATCGTGTCTGTTAAGAGAGAAATGCCTCATCAGCTAGTTCCTTTGTTTGCTCACTGGATGATGCTCCATTTGCGAAGTCCGACTGACGGGAGCTTTCTGAGGATAATGCCAATGTGTGGAGGACGATGCCCACTGTGTTCAAATCAAACACGTCCTGCAGAAACGCGGGTCCAACGATGGGGCAGCAGGTGGCAAGCAGCTAATTCTAATTCTGAGATGAAATGACATTTAGATAAGGGCTCACCATGTCTTAGAAAGTCAACGTGTTCCGCCTCTTGGTGACAAAAAGGCTACCCAGTGTAAGAAATAATAATGACATCAGAAGAATTAAACCTGCGCACAAGGTAACTTTTACCACAGCATTGACACGGGCACTTGGCAAGAAAATACAGCTGCTTTTGCTAAAACAAACTACTTTTTCTAGAAACAGATTCTCTCGGGCTCCGTGTCTCCTGGGATAGCGACACACAGCTAGCTTAGCACCACGAACGCGAGTGGCCGTCCCTACAACATACAGCAGGTGCGCGGAAGAACGCCCATCGCTACCCGAACGGCGCTGTCGCCCGAGCCATCAGCCAGGATAACGGCTTCTGCGCGATGCTCTCTCACAGGCTGCGCTGTTACAGGAAGAAGCAAAGAGCAGCGATTTCCTTCCAAAAGGTCAGCTGCCTCAGACAGACCAAACAGAAAGCAGTTGATTCTTGCCAACTTCCCCTCCTGCTTCTGCAGCTTGTACGCAATCGTGTTTGGTTTCCAGTAAAGCTCCAAAGAAAAACAAACCAAATGTGAGACCCAGAACCGTAAAGTGCCTCACGTGACTACGCTGAAGACAATACGGTCACATGGGGCCAGGCCTTTTAAACAGCAGTGGGGCCGTCAGAAACCACCAGGCTGAACGCGGACTCACACGCGAGGAGAAGGATGGGACTAGATTTACACGAACGTTCCACAAGTCGCCGCCTAAGAATAGAGTGATTTGGGGGCCGTAATAAATGTGGACAACATGTGAGGTCCCTAGTGGATTGATATGAAAATAAATTTTTAAAAAAATATATATTTTATTGATTTTTTACAGAGAGGAAGGGGGAGAGAGAGAGAGTTAGAAACATCGATGAGAGAGAAACATCAACCAGCTGCCCCCTGTACATCTCCTACTGGGGATGTGCCCGCAACCAAGGTACATGCCCTTGACCGGAATCGAACCTGGGACCCCTCAGTCCGCAGGCCAACGCTCTAGCCACTGAGCCAAACCGGTCTCGGCTGAAAATAAACCTTTAGCTTTCCTCTTCTCAAACTAAAGTCCGATCGTTGTCCAACACAATAGGGCACTGGCCGGTTCAATGCTGACAAGCAGATAAACGAGGACTATATAGTTTCCTAGGTTAGGCATGGAGAAAAGACTGTACAACTATGAACAAAAAGAGGAAGAGGACAGAAACTATGATTTTAAATCCTCTTTAGACAGGAACCCCAAATAGCTATGGAGTAATAGAGAACCCGGCCGTGTTGAATCCGCTCAGCGGTTGAGCATCCACCTATGAACTAGGAGGAGGTCACGATTTGATTCCGGGTCAGGGCACAGGCCCCGGTTGTGGGCTCGGTCCCCAGTAGGGGGTGTGCAGGAGGCAGGCGACTAATGATTCTCTCTCATCACTAATGTTTCTCTCTCTCTCCCTCTCCCTTCCTCTCTGAAGTCAATTAAAAACATATATTTAAAAAAAATGATATCGAACACCCGCTCACCCTCAAAGAAACGGCACATTCTCGCGTAGACTTCTTTAAGAGCTCATCTATGCATTCAATCTTCCTAGAGGCAACAATTTAGATCCTTTTGAACAGAAAGATAAAGAGGCAGGAAAAAAAAAGAAGACTTTTTAAGTTTTCTCAGCTAGACTGGTTCCTGGCTTAGCTGTCTACATACAACTTACAAGAAACTGTGACGGGCCCTTCCAGGCCCCTCCAGCATGTGGTAGGCTCTCTGTGGTTTCTAACCCCCTAGTTTCAGGTTGTGGTGGCAACAGAGACACCAAGCTTTTTGTGAGACAAGCTTATGTTCTAAAGATTCTAGGCTTTGATGATGGGGGGTATGTAACCCCCTCTGAGACCTTCAAAAGGAACACAGTCTGGGGTTCAAGGAAAAACTTGTTAGTTTTGTTAAACGTGTTAAATGAACGATTGCTACCAACATTAGAAACAGGTTTCATGTTGGAAACAAAATAAACTATTACATTTCCAAGCCTTTCCTGCACTTAATCATCAAACCTTAAATAACAGCAAAGGAACTCGCACAGAAAGGAGAAAAAGAGAGTATGAGTAGTAATGGTAATACTTAGTAACAGTAGTAATAACATTTAAGGAGCTCCTCCTGTGTCATATGCCCTTTACATGCACCCTCATGAAAAACCTATACGGCAGCACGATTATCGCTCTCATTCTACAGATGAGGAAACAGGCTGAAGGGGGAGGAAATGTGCCCCAAGTCCTGCAGCAACAAAGCGCAGGAGCTGGGATCAGTGCCTAGGCTGTCCACCTGCAGGGCGCCTCCTCTCAGACCCCGTACTTATTAAAACCTCTCACCCATCCACGTGAGATTTTCCTCACAAGGATACCTGTGGTTTAAGACCACTTTAAGATAAAAGCTACAAAGTGAATTAACACAAAGTACAACTCACAGATACCAAAAAAAAAAAAAATAAATTATTTGACATGCCAAAAATGCTTTGTATGGGATGGTGAGAACATCTAGATGACAAACCTTCAGGCAACCAGAAGAAGCCATGTTTGGGGTTTGGTGGCTCAGCTTCACTCCCCTAAACCAATCAGAAATCAGCTAAAAGTGTTGGATTGTCAAAGGGAGTGAGAGGAGAACCATGGGAACAGTTCTGGGGGTGGGTAACTTTCCAATGAGGCCAAAACCTAGAACATTGTGACACTTCCTATAAGAAGCAGAGTGGCTGGTTATACTTGTTACATTTGTTCCCAAGTCCCTCACTAGTTTTCCATTAGATAGGTTATAATCCACCCCCAAGATTTAGGAGGGACCATCTTAATCTCCGGTTTTCTCATTATGGCGACAATAATCACTTATAAAAATGAGAAAACAGTCTGTGAAATATCCAGGCGGGTAAGTTAGGATAGTAAAGGATACTGAAGTCAGCTGTCATCTGGATAACTGTTCACCTTATGCCAATAATTAAACGTCAACTTACTTAAGGCTGGTATGCAGATGAAGTTACAGACCAGGTGTAAACGATAAATTCCTGTGATAATGAATATTAACATGATAAACATATAAGTAACCACATTACTGTTTACAGTGTACATTGTATAACTGGCTGAATGTTAGATCATCTGGGTTCACCAAGCCATGCCACTAAGAAGTATTTACTCTTCTGAATTTAACAGGGGACATTTGGAACAAGGAACGTAGGAAGTTTATACTTCTACTAGAGGCCCAGCGCACAAAATCGTGTGCAGATAGGGTCTCTAGGCCTAGCCTGCCATCAGGGCCATCTTCCACCCGCTTGCCAGTCCCTAGTCCTGCCCTGCCACCTCCACCCACCTGCGGTTCCCGCTGGCTTGGGGATCTATCGTAGCCTGCAGGCAGGGAGGAGGGACCAAGAGGTGCCTGCTCGCCAGTCCCCAGTCCCGCCCAGCTGCCACCCACCCCTGCCACCTACCCCCATTCCCGTGGTTCCCCGTTGGCCTGGTGATCGATCTTAGCCTGCAGGCTGGGGGGGGGGGGACCGAGAGGTGGTCAATGCACCTCATAGGGATTGTTCGATCGGTTGTTCCAGTCGTTATGATGTTACGGTCACTGGCTCTTTATATATTAGATGAAAGGTGCCTCATACAATCTTTAGCACCTTTAGCTAAAAAAGGAATCAACCAATACCATATCCTATGACTTTTATCATTTGATCACCCCAGTTTTAATTTTTTATTACATTTAATTGATTTTTAGAGAGAGAAACATCGATGTGAGAGTGAAACATCGATTGGCTGCCTCCTGCACATCCCCTACCGGGATGAAGCCTGCAACCTGGGCATGTGCCCTGACTGGGAATCAAACCGGCAACCTTTCGGTGCAGGGGACAGCGCCCAACCAACTGGCTGGGCTCCTGTGTCTTTTTGGCTGCATTCTCAGTTAGAGCTCCCACAAGGTGGCAAAAACCTCCTCTCACAACTCCTTGTGTTCTGTGGCCACAGCGAGGGATGCTCTGATTAGCCAGGCCTGCATCCCATGTCCACCCCTGGAATCACCCCACCTGAATGACAAGAATTGTGAGTGGGGGTGGCATGATTCCTCATCTGGAGATTTAGGATTGCTTTCTCTCTCTAGAGTGAGAATGTGGTACACTCGGCATGAGAACTAAAGCAACTCTGAGTTACCTGTTGCTTAACTACATTGTAACTTGGAATCAAACCGGCAACCTTTCGGTGCAGGGGACAGCGCCCAACCAACTGAGTCACACTAGCCAAGGTTGATCATCCCAGTTTTAAAAGATGGAATGCTTGCCTGGCTGGCATGGCTCAGTGGTTGAGTGTGGACCTATGAACCTGGAGGTCATAGTTTTATTCCTGGTCAGGGCTCATGCCTGCGTTGTGGGTTGGATCCCCAGTGTGGGGTGTGCAGGAGGCAGCCGATCAATGATTCTCTCTCTTCGTTGATGTTTCTATCTCTCCCTCTCCCTTCCTCTCTGAAATTAATAAAAAAATATATTTTTAAAAAATAAATAAATAAAGATGGATTGCTTTCTCTCTCTAGAGTGAGAATGTGGTACACTCGGCATTGTACTGAGTTACCTGTTGCTTAACTACATTGTAACTTATCCCAGGGCAGGAACCATTTTGATTCCTTCAACACAATACTTAGCGCACGGGAGATGTTCAATAATTGCGTGTTAAATACGACGTTGGTAGACCTCCGAGTTACCAAAGAACCTAAATTGGGGGAAATAGCTGAAATGGCTGGTAGGTCAGTTATTTCCTTCAAGATGTTATTTTTACCACTGTGGAGGCCATTAACTCGAGTCCTTATTACAGGAATAATGGGACTGAATCACACTTGATAGAAAATGTGACGGAGGTTTTGACTCATCGTCGGTGCTAATCACGGCAAGTATAATTGCAAGCCGTACCATTCCATAAATATCGTGACAAGTTCGTAGAGCAGCGCTAACGCCTTGCTGTGGCAATTTCAAAGAGGAGAATTACATGAAATGGGATGATGCCAACGCGAGCAGAAATTCCAAAGACAGCTTCTTCCTTATGCGGACGAAACCGCGTCTTTTAATGATGCCTCAGAAAAGCGGCAGAGCATCAACGTAAGGGGCAGTGTTTACCAACAGCCCACCGACGGTTACCAGGCGGTCTACCAAGCGCAATCCGCAATCCGGAAAGGCCGATTGCTGCGCCAAAACAGGAGGGTAACGTTCGACATCCAGAATGCAGATTCCCGCTGGGAGGGTGGCTGGCCTGATAGACGCGGAACCTGTTCCTTATCT